AACATAATTAAAGCATAGTGATTAATCACAAAAACAGTATGTAATTCTAGTGAAATATTTATTTCTAATTACAAATAAATGAAATTTTCTCTTGAAGCATGGTGTAGCATGGGGAACAGTCTTCACGCCAGGGACTCGTATGTGGGCGTATCTGCATGTGGGCGGACCCGCCTGGAGACGGATAGACAGCAGTGTCTCCTTACCTAAGACCATCTGAAATACGTGTTTTCCAATGGTCTTAAGCAACCCCTGCGAAAGGGTCGTTCGACCCCCAAAGGGGTTGTGACCCACAGGTTGATAATCGCTGCTATAGCACAAGGTAAAACTACCACTGTGAGTTTCCAAGATTATACCTGCTTATGCGAGTAGAAAGTCAGTCTTTTTCCCATCAAATGGCTCGTGGTTTCCGACTGCTGGCCTTGGAATGGCAGCCCAATGCTTAGCCACTACACGACCAGGGCTCCAAATAGATGGCGAGGACCTCTTAAAAAGAATACACTTGTGTACACTAAAAGATTCTACCAAAGGGGAAAAACAACCCATGCGCTAGGAAAAAATTTTGGCAATGACAGATACGGGATTAATCTCTACAATCTTACCAGACAACTACAATACCTCAACAAGAAAAGACAACCCAGTTAAAAAATGGGCAGTGAACATGAAACATAGCTTGCCCAAGAAGACATCCAGGTGGCCAACAAACATGAAGAAATGTTTAAGATGATTAGCCATCGAAGAGTTGCAAATCAAAACATAAGTGAGATACTACCTCACACTGGCATCGATAATAAAGTTCAAATAAGTAAAATACAAATGCTGGAGTGGGTATGGAGAGTTTGGAACCCTGAGACACTGCTGCTGGGGTTATAAAACAGTACAACCACTGTAGAAAAGATTATGGCACACTTCCTTAAAAAATGGGAATAGAAATACTCTATGGCCCAGAAATCATGCTACTTGTTATATACAGAAGTGAGCAACACAGTACGGGGAGATGGTATGCACATTCATGTTCATCACATTAACAGTAGCAAGAAGATCGAAACAACCTAAGTGCCCAAAGTGGGGAATGGCCAAACTCTGGTCTATGTAACAAATGAAATGCAGTGCAAATCAGTGTGCGATAATAATGAACAAGCACCTCGTGACATGGATGGATTTAGAGGACATTATGCTGAGTGAAGTTTTTTAGTTACAAAAGGACAAATATTATATGAGTCCAATAAACACTGGGGAAAATGCAAAGTTTGCATACCATAAGCATCATACTTTGCTGGTTACCTACTGACTAGAGCAGTGTTTCACAAACTACTGACTTGGTACTGACTTGGCTCCCTCGTACCTGGGGCACTGGGCCACCCAACGTGGCTAAAAGGCAGAGACCTTGGATTATGAGCGGTAATACAGATGTTTTGTCATTGTCCAGGGGGGCTGGGTTTTGTTTTCTTTGTCCTTAAAAGAAGGTAGTAGGCCAAATAAGTTTGGAAACCTAAGGGCTAGAGGGTAGATTAGTGTTATCTGGGTTAGGGGAAGTTAATGTCCGAAAAGAGGGAGATTGGGGGAAGGGTAGGGAATCTGAGAATAGACGAGCCATAAAAGAATAAGGCCCATACTTTGATAGTCCTTACTTCTCTGTCAGACTTTGTATCAACCACTTTATGTTTTAATCATCAGCTGAGATTCAAAATTCTGTATTTGGAACTGATACTTCAACCTAGATCTATTTGACTTCAAACTAAAGTTCTCAACCAAAATCCATATTGCTTAAAGCTCCTGATAGGATCATCTTTCAGATCAAGATATAATTGATGTTTGGGGTTAGTGGTGTTTTGGGAATAAAATATGTTCTTAATGTGCTAGGTTTCTTTTAGCTAACATATACCATCTACATTTCTGGATTTTTCTGTCACTATCTCTACAGATTTTTGGCATCGCCTACCCTTGGTGGATATGCTTACTGTAGGCTTTTGAGCATACCAGGCCTTCTGCTGAAAATGCCCTCCTTTCTTCCCATTTCCCGACTTGTTTTTCAAATCCAGCTTAGTCAGTTATTTAAGGAAGCTACACCTAACCAACTTTAAAGGCTAGATTAGTTTCATAGCCTTCTGTGTATCTCTTTTATAGCAGTATTGTCATATATTATTATATGTCTTATTACGTGTTTTCTGTGAATATTTTGAGCACATTTACAGTGTTTGATTTGTTATAATTTTTTTTTTTAGTATGTGCATTTATTCTTGGTCATTGGTGGTCATTGAGTAAATCTGAGGAAAAATTTGAATGGATAAATTGGTGTTTCATAATATGTTTTTTCTTTCTCATTGAAATGCAGAGCCAGGCTTTCCAGGACTAAATCCTCCGATTCCTTGGGAACATGCACCACGTCCCCATTTTCCCCTTGTCCCAGCTTCGTGGCCTTATGGTTTGCATCAAAACTTCATGCATCAGGGAAATCCCAGATTTCAGCCCAACAAACCTTTCTATACTCAAGGTACCGTTACTCATAAATAAATTAACAAGCAGGGTGGGTTTTTATTCTAGAACAGGAAGCTTCAGCCATGACCAGGATATGGGAGTTAAATTCAGGCATTGAGTAAGCATACATTGACAGCATACTGTGTGTCAGATTGTGCTGCTTGTTCAACATGCATAAAATATCCCCACACTTAATTAATGCACAATAGGTGATCTAGAATTTAAAGTAGGTAAGCATAGCACTTAGATCAGTTAGCTTTGTTAAGTAGAGGGATCAAGGATATATATAAAGGGTTGGGAGGCCAGAAATTAATTCACAGAAGATTTGGACATTTGGACTCGATCTTAAACTTTTTCTAGGGATGAGAACAGTGTTTCCCAAAGTGGGTGATACCATCCTGGGCAGGTGCTAGAATGATCCAGGGATATGATAGTAGCCTAGGAGGAAAGTGTGGGATATTGAATAAAAATTAGATGGTGGAAACACTATTTCATATATTTTCTGAAAAGGACTGGTAGGCCAAATCAGTTTGGGAACTTCTGGATTAGAGGGGAGGTGTTCTTAGTTGAGGGAGTAAAATATGCAGTCTTTCCGTTTTACCCAGCATTATGAAGAAAGAAGAGAAAATAAGGCTAAAGCTTAAGTATACGGGAAAGCTGTGTAAGTAATGAGACTAGAGAGGGTAGAGGGTATGATGAAATTTCATAGATAGTATTAAAGACTTTGGACTTTACTTAGGATTATTATTATTATTATTTTCTTTGGGGGTCAGATTTCTTTAGTAAAACTAGTACTTGAATGACACTACAATTCATTTTGTTCTAGTGGTGCTGATATAGTAATCAGTAATGGCTTTGACCTAGTTATTGAATATTGCAAACTCAAGAAAATTCTGAAGAAATTGTAGAATCTTATTTTGACATAGTGCTATTAAGGATTGTCTGTGTCTGTCCATCAGGACTTAGTTAATCTAGAGGTTAAAAAAAATAAGATCAGGGTCATTACAATCAAAGTAGGAGTTCAAGAAATTAGGAAAGGCACTCATGACACTGACTGATTGAAATAACTTTGGACAGAGCTCGTTCAGGTCCTTGGTGTAAGTTTCAGTCACGATACAGTTAAGTTCTCCTGAACTGTAAACATATTGCTAAGACAGCCCTACTTTAAAGAGTGACATAATCTTGATTATGGTTGGTCAGGAAAGAACTTCTCAGGAAAGAATTAGGGTTGAAGGATATGATGATTGGTTATACAAACCTTTTTTTACAGGGAGAGTTTGACGTTCCCCTCTGGTGGGTTTCTTCACCTTGACTTTTCCCACCCATCTCTCTTTCACTTGCTCTCATTTCTTTCATGAACTCATATCTCTCTTCCTTCTATCTCCTCTCCCAATTCCCTTCCAAAATGTTTGACATGCTTGATCTCCTTACTGTATAGAGAAAAAAGAGAACTAGCTTCAAGTTAATTCTAAGGGGGTTTTCAGATAAACAGGCACCAGCCTTTCAGTTTCCTGTCTGTGTTGTATCCAACAGACAGATGTGCCAACCGTCGGTGTAGAGAGCGTTGTCCCCACCCACCGAGAGGAAACGTGTCGGAGTAATGCGAGTCCATTTTCTTTCAGCTGGTCTACCGATGCACAGCAACCAGCCAATCCTGCTGTCTCAAGGGTATCCGTACCTCAATGTCAGTTACATTCAGCAGAAAAAGTGACATTTAATGGAAAGCAAAACAAATCAGGTCCTGGTTTAAAATTTTAACACGTTTAGATAGATTATTTAAATTCTAAGACTGTTTTTAAAGACTGTATTATTTGTATATAAATATGAACTATAGTTTTTACCAGTATCACCAAATTGAGTGATACAAATTTCATCTATTTTATTACCCTATTTTTAAGGGAGTTTTATGTTTTGTTTAACCTTGATGAATTGTATAAAGAGAGAATTTAAAAAATGACATTCTTTATTTTCTATTAGCTGTATTCATACTTTGGTTGCTTCAGACTTTATATAGTATATTGTTCTTAAGACTTAGGAAAGAATTTCATGTGTTTTAAATTTGTCACTTCTATTCTTTACAGAGCCTTGTAGTGCCAAAAACTTTTTAAAAGGAAAAAAAATAAAATAAAGCTAAAACAAAGATCCAGATTTTCTTTTTCTTTTACATCCTTGCGTATTGAAAGTAGTCAAACTGAGTGAAAAGTTGCTTGTCTATATTTGAAGTAATTTTATTTTAAGAAAATAAATACTTTGGACTCCCAAGAATTATATTTGCTTAATTCATCTGATTGTGTAGGTGATAGAAATATAATGTAACTATTTAGTGATCAGCGATCATCTCAACAGACTTGGTGATCCAATGATATTTTCATATTGTTTATTGGATTGCCCAAAACCATGTAATAAGAGCATTCATTGGAGCACATACTTTATCCATTTTATTGAGAAAATGTATTTTATTATTAAGAAAACTGTAAGACAGAATAGTGAAGTGACTTTCAAAGGAGGTGCTCACACATTGGAAATAGAATCAAAACAAACATCTTTATTTTAAAAAACAAACAAACGTCTTTTGGAGTAGAGATTTTAAACACTAAGACTATTGCCAAAAGAGTGGAGATGACTTTTATCTACTAAGGACCCATCATGTGCCAGACTATTCCAAATCTTGTACTACAACCTGGAAGATAAATTTGCTGGGATGCTAATTAGGTTACTAATAATGTGTATACAATCAGTAATTATAGAAGTTAGAATTCAGACTTGTGTTGACAGTGGCAGATTTTACTGTTGGTGAGATTTTTGTCTTGTCTGTTTAAAAGGTGCCAAGAGATTCATAGACTAAATGACATAGATGTATTTTAAAAGGTTCAGAATAAGTGATAAAATATATTTAGAGGTAGCAATTTTTTCCTGAGGTATGTGTTATTTAGAACACCTGGGCTCCTGACATATATCCTAATAGAGGAATGCCTAGTCTTTTGCTGGAAATTGAGTTTTCCTTTCCATAGTTAAAAGCTTGAAAAGGCATTTATTAATATCCAGGTGTATGTACTGTTTGCATGTTAATACACTATAATTTCAGCATCCCTTAGGGCCCAACTTATACTTTGGTTAAAATCTGCCTTGGAACATTCAAGAGTTTCTTTTAAATTATTGTTTTGTTTTAACTCTAGTTGGAGAATAGCTCTAGGTTAGGTGGTGAGAGTATAAAGATGTTCATTGTAATGTTTTATTTTTGTATATGAGGGGTTTCACATGTGCTTTCACATGTGCTAGCACCTCCTTCAGCAATTGCTAGAACTGGCAATGCTGTTTAAAGTTGAAAAATAGAAGTCTTAGTTTATAATATATGCAGTAGTAGCTCTACCTTAAAAGTTGTGACCTTAAATATTTGAGGAAATACAAATTGTATAATTAGCAGTCTTAGAGAACTATATATACTGAGATTATATAGTTTTTGAAATCTGATATGTTTAATGACAAGGAGAAAAAAATATTTCCCCATGCCATTAAATGTTATTTAAACTACGAATAGTAATGACATACTGTGTAGTGAGGGAGAAAAGATGACTCTTCTGTAGAGCGACGGTCATAGAAACCCACACGGGCAGTTCTATGCTTACATGGTTGCTGTGAGTTAACAACTGGATGGCAGAGGTGATAAAATATTTGGAGCCCTGGTAGCTCAGTGGTTGAAGTGTTCACCTGCTAACTTGAAAGGTGTGTTTCAAACCCCATCAGCGGCTCTCCAAGAGGGAAATCTGGCCGTCTGCTTTCATATAGGTTACAGCCTTGGGAATCCTAGCGGAGTCAGAATCAACTCAATGCAACGAGTTTGATAATACTTACTCTTCAACAGTTGGACCTTTTTTGCTTTTCATAATTTTTCTCATATGATACAGCAAAATGAAATAAAGTTTTTTGTGTATACGTGTATTTCCTTTAGGGTAAATTCTTGTAACCAGTGGTCATTGGGTGAAAGGATAAAGGATCTAAGATTTTTGCTACATATTGCTTAAAATGTTCTTCAGAAAATAGATTTCTGATTTTCCGTTCTAACAAACATTACTATGAAATATGCTGATAGCTTTTAAAAAAACAGCATTAAATTTCAAACAAGCCACTTTAAAATCTGATCATTTTCTTTTATGTGCAAGTATAACCAAAGTGTGAAAATCACACAAATCCATCAGTCATAAATCGATATCTGGTGAACTTGAATACAAACTTGCCTTAAGCATTTAGGCATATTTTTATAAAAGTGGGCTCATATACTATCTTTAATATTTAGATTAACAGAAATAATAAAACATGATACTGAATTTTAGTGCTCCCCACCTCCCCAAATCTAGTTCTAAATAATGCCTCCTACTAAGGATAATTATAGAAGTTGGTGTTTTATAACTATATATTCAATTATATTGAGTCCTGCTAGGAATGATGAAACCAGCACTTTGCATATCCTCCACTGTTTTATTATTTCTGTTAAATATTAACATACTGTTACTAATTTGAACTCTACTATAATTTCCCACTATGTATTTGAATTTTATTTAGTGATAATTCTGTTCCTAAGGTCATAATTCAATTGAACTTCATTATAAGTTTTTAAAGCAGGAATCTAGGTTATTACATTAAGTTCTGGGTTGAATGTGTTTATCCGTTTTGTAGACATCTTTGGCTAGGTGTTAGGATTCCTTAAACTTTATTTTCTTCAGTTTTGGAGACTGTTGCTTCACTGTCTTCTGGAGGTAAGATTCCCCTAGCATTTGAGGCCATTTTATATCCCCACTATGACTTGGGTGCTCAGTTGATTTTTTTTTTCTTCAGGATTTTAAAAAATAAATTATCTTGCGTGTATCAGCTTTATAGTTTTTTGTTCCTTTCCATTTCATATTTCTTCCTGTCACATTTTGTAACTTTTAATAAGGCTTTCTACAACTTAAAAAAAAAATCTTTAAATTCCACCAGTTTATCTTTTATCTCCTCTGAAACCATGTACTTGAAATGTTTAAATAGCTCATGCTCTGCTTTATCTTTGCATCTGTACAAAATTTGTTGCATGTCCCTTTAACAGTTAAAAGTTTAACCTCTCTTGGGAGAGGGAGTGACATTTGTGATGATTCTACTCTGATTCATGTTTAAATTTTATCAGGTCTAGTATTGAAAAACAATAGGGAGGGGTTATAAAGTGAAATGATTAGTTGTTATATACCTTCTCACCAAATCCATTGTCCTCAATTGGAACGCATTCCCTTCATTTTGTATTGCCAAAAGCAGGATATTTCACACAATAGAAACTGGATCAGTAAAGTGGTTTATATACATTAAAAACAGAATGGTAAAAATGTACTTTTCATAATTGGTAAGATTTGTTTCATGGAATTGTATGTGTATACAGAGGCAAGATGTAAAATGTATTTAATGCTGGCTATAGTCAACATGTTTAAAGGCCTTGTCTAGTAGGCTACCACATAGACCACAGAAAACGACCCCTTAGCTTTTTTTAATTTTTTGACCCCTTAGCTTTTAAGTGCATCTCTGTAATTTATCAACAAGTGCTCTAAGATATATTCAGTATACCCCACTGTTAACTTTTTGTTCTAATTAACACACCATGACAACTCTTTTCAACACTGAAACTTTTCCAGTTGGCGTATTAGCTGACAAATATCTTTGATAGTGTGATGTAATTAGCAAGATGCATTTGTCTCAAGGAGAGGAAATCTGAGGTTGGGGGAGGCGGCCTATTTTTTTCAGATTCAAGCATTTATACCAGGTCCCACCTAGGGCTGCATGTACCAGAAGTGGGATAGGTGCTTCCCACCAAAACCCCAGAGCAAAATGTAGTTGGGGTCTGAAGGGCATTCGGAAAGTTAATGAAAACATGGATTTACATGATGAAATTATTTCATGAACTTTTTGAAGCCCCATTGAATAAATGTCCTTTAAGGGTTTAAGAATGTGAACCACATGCTTCCTATTAGAGGTTGCCTATGTTCAATTTACCATATCTAGAAATTTTAGCAAGAGTTTTTCAGTATGTTGGGAGGCAAAGGCGCACGCTTAAAATTTTGTTAATGCTATACTAGATGGTAGCTTATTCGATTTGTTTCTTTCTGCCCAAATCACTGGTACTCCTTAACAGACTTAAAATAGGTATGCGTATATCTAATTTTAAGTGTATCACAAACCGTCTTATGGACCTTTTTCAACTCATGAGGAAGTCTTTGAAGAAAAACAAAAGTTCTCAAGTGACGGAAAAATTATTTATTATTGTCGTAAGAGAACTTGTGTCTTGTTTCTTCAGTTTAGTAGCAAATAATGGAATGTTTACCCTAAGATCTGATACTGAATTAATTGATAATAAGAAACTGCAGCCTGTGACAAGGCAGTTGGTCTTCAGTTCCTGCTAGGATAAGTGTGAATAAATCCATACAATAAATTTCCTCATTTTTTAAAGGAGGAAAGTATAAGAAATTGCTTTAATAAAATCACTACCATCTTTTGTCATCTTAGACCTTTGGCTGTTTTTGACATTCTCAACTAATTCTTTTATGACCCATGTCAGTTTTCAATTGGTGGCTGCTTTTCCTCCTTTACCCATGTTGGTGTTGTTTACGTGTTTCCTGGACAATTTCATCTAATTAAACTCCTTCCACAGGTAGTGAAAACTGGGGCTTGTCTACTGTCTGGTCTTTTTGTAGACACACCCTAAAGAAATCTGTCCCTTCAAGTTGATTCTGTCCCAGGGCAACCACATTTGCACGAGAATAGAACTATGCTCCAGAGCTTTTACCAGCTGTTTGCATCTTGCTTCTCAAATGCAGACTGCCAAGTGTTCTTTCCCAGGTGCTTTGGGAAAGAACAGGACTGCCAGGTATACTAAAAGAAATAAACAAAATCCCAAACTCATTGCCATCGAGTCTGACTCATATACAGTCGGGGTTCCAGGACTCTGTGTTCCGGAGTAAAAGGCCTCATCTTTTCCTTGGAGCAGCTGGTGATTTCAAATGGCTGACCTTTTTGGTTAGCAGCCCAACAAGTAACCCACTATGCCAGCAGGGGTCAGCAGATGTACCACAGCTGTCTAAAATTAAACTTTACCACCACACTCTTGATAAGTTTTAAAACTTGGTCGCTTCCTGAAGTGAATGACAACCCTGTCTACTTAATAAAATTGTGTGACACTACACAATAACTTCTCTACCAAACCCTTTTCAATCCCATTGCTCTATTATTACTGAATAGGCTAAGATAAAGTAACCACTTGTTAAGATAAAGGTTTTATTCCTTATCCTGGAATTCAAGGCTACTGGGGAAGAACAATTGTGTTGGGATGCAAGGGAGAAGGCTTTTAAGAGTTCCTGTTTGTTGACCTGTTCAATGACAATGGACTAATAGATCCAGGAGGATGAGGCTTATATGTGATTGCATTGTTTCTGCAAAGCTGTTAACAAGTCAGTGTAGATATTATCACTTGCTGCTGCTGGTTAAAAAAAAAAAAGTATGTTCTACTGAATTGATCTCTGAATAACAACACAAATCCCAGATGGCTCCAGGAGATCTATCACTAAGCAAAAGAAAGGAAACTGGGAATTTGTGTGTCATGTTAAATAACAAAAGATCAGCATATGGTCACATCCTTTGTCTTCCCCCAGTGTGCGCATACATGCACACACCCGCACCCATTCAAATTCCCTCCTACCCTCAAATTTAATTGCTACAGTCAAAGGTGAGTGTATAAAACAGCACTTCTTTCTTTTTTCAAAAATTGGAAAAATTTTCAGTAAGAAAAAAATATTCTCATAGCTGCCTAGGGAAGGAATCAATCCCTCCACAGACAGATAATCTCATATCCATCGGAGGACATGTGGATGAAAATCAGTCCATTATTCATTCCCTCTCCGGCTCTTCTTGTGGCTTTTCTTAGACCTAAAATGACAGCACATACAAAGCATTGAATTTAGCAGCTGTTCAAGGACTGCTGACACTTATGGGAGTGACGCTGAAGAGTTAAATACGCCTGCTATGCTTTATATCATCTTAAAACAACCCTGTGAGTTAGGCATTACTATTGTTTTTTTTTAAACTTCCCATCCAACAGTGTATGGCATACAAAGGTTTCTGAGGAATGTTCATTGAAAAGTAGGGTCCCTCAACGGAGAAGTTGGCACTGAAATACTTTGAAATACATGGCCCATCATGCCATGCCCTGCCCTTCCACTGCACAAGAAAATTCCTAGGGATATAAAGCCGGTTTTGTCCTGAAATAAGAATCTACACCCCCCCCCCCCATTAGAACAATACAAGTAGTTACTGATTGGAATTTTAATTTCTGAATTGAGTGAATTTGTTAACATGACACAGGCCATTACATACCTTTCAGGGGACTTTGAGTGGCTCCTGTGTCTATGACTGTGGTGGTGACCTGAGGAAAGAAAGGTGAGTGGATGAGCAGGAATAAACCCTCTTCCCTTCTATTACTATCATTCTCACCTCCTCCACTCCCTTCCCCTGTACTGTTTGAACTACTTGGGGATCACCTCTGTGAATTGATGGTGAATTGCTTAGTGAAGTCATTTCATAAGCAGTTAAAACTTCACCGCTAAATCAAAAACCTCATGCTGGATTTTCACCATTACTCTGTGGAACTTAGCCCCGTTATTTGAGATGAAGAAACTGAAGCCCATCATATCAGTACAACTAGGAAATAACGAGATTCTTATTCTGGTTCCTTTGTTGCTGGACAGTAAGAGGCTACTCCTACACAGCAAAGGCAAACTACTTCCTCGCTTCCATTTTTTGGTGAAGACAAAGAATGGTAAAAGGCCCACATGCTATACCTGGGGACTTGGAGCGGGATCTGTGCCGTCGATCTCGGGACCTACTGCGGTGCCGTCTTGGACTCTTGCTCCTATGTCTTTCTCGGCGTGGGGAAGGGCTATGAAATAGACTGGTCAGGCTCTCGTAACATCTGGCAATATGCACCCTACAACAAAACAACACACAACCCACCGTCCCCAAACCCTGTCCTTCCGCACAACAGATGACTGGCCTACCTCCTCCTCTTGGGAGACCGACTCCGCCTATAGAGAAAAAGATGAAAATTGCTTAGTCGATGCATTGGATATTTTAGATTAGATTGGTTGGTCCCTATTATTCCTTATTTATGTGTCCATGTCCTTTGCACTCTAATTTGGTAGCACCTCCCATTCATAACTCTGGGATTGGCCATGCGACTTGTTTTGGTTTGCTATTTGTGATTGTGATGCAAGTAGATCATGGAAAAACAGCATGACAGGGCTTCTTTGCCAATGAACACAGTTACTGTTAGCTCATACCCATATGATGAAAAGACGTATGAAGAGGTGAGTTGCTTTAATGACTCCAGCTATGGCCATCCTAGACCAGTCAAGAGACAAAACATGAGTAAACCCAGCTAGAAAGCTGCCCAACTGAGTTCAACTTAAATTGCTAACTGTAGACTTGGTGAGCAAAAATGATAATTGTCATTAATGTTTTGTGCTTATAGGTAAGTAATCCATTGGACAAACAAACTGGGCACTTTTCTTCCTTTAGTGTGAATCAGTGGGCTGCAGTGCTGAGAGACTCCCTGGAAGAGGCCAGTGAGTAGGGCCTTACCTTCTGGGAGACCGACTCCTACTCCTCCTGTAGCGCAGCGTGGGAGAGCGACGGGGCTTGTCCAAGTCTCTGTAGCTTCTCCTGCGGTGATCAGGTGAGGGCACTCTCTCCAGCTGGAAAGGATGGATGGGTCAGCCAGCGATGGGCACAGGTAATGCTCTCACCCACCCAATCCCAAAGTCCTTCTCTAAACGACTGTAACACAGTAATTGAATTCACATAAAAAGGTAATCCTACAGACAAAAAGAATCAAGTTTCCAATAATCTGACTCTATTGTTAGTATTATTCTAGAACTGTGTGATCAATATGAAAGATAAATATCTACTTTAAGGTGAATTTCCACTATGCACCTCCTCCTAGTTAAGTGCCATCAAGTCAGTTCCGACTCATAGTAATCCCATGTACAACAGAAAGAAACAATTCCCAGTCCTGAACCACCCCCACAATTTCTATTTGAACATCATCTTAAATTCTAAAATAACTTCAATTAAAGTGTGACATTATTAAGGTCAAATACAAACAGTATTTTAAACGCTGATTTCCCTGAGTTCTGCCAGCTGAAAAGGCTTAACCCAGTATCAATGAATGTGGGTACACTTGCAGCACAGAATACTTAACTCGGGTTAAAATGGTAAAAAAATAAATCTAAAACAAGATTTGTCAGTTGACGGAATGGATTTTTCAAAGAATCCTCAATGTAGGACATCTAAGACAGAAGGGAGCACACAGGGTGGTCTCACAATTAGGAAAGGTCTTCAGATGATACCCATCCCCTTTGAGAACTCACCTATAGAAAAGAATGAGATGGTGGTGCCTGTGAAATGAAGGGCTAAGGCTAGAGCAGCAGGAATGGCTGGATTTGAACACAGGTGCCCAAATCTACGATCAATGTTTTAGGAAAAATGAGCCTTGTTTAGATCTCAAGGTGCGGAAGGAAGAGCCTAGGGTTCAAGTGCTAAACTTAAAAAAAAAAAAAAAAAAAAAGCTGGACAAGTCCTAGTTAGTGTTCTCTCTAAGCACCAATAGAAACAAATTCTTTTATTTTGGAGAGGGGGAGTGGGGGCCCGGGGTCAGGGAACTTTAGCAAACTTCAATTTAGGACCATAGGAGTCTTTTTAAAAAATTAATTGTTTAAAATCATTTTATTTGGGCTCATACAACTCTTATCACAATCCATACATCAATTGTGTAAAGCACACCTATACATTCGTTGACCTCATCATTCTCAAACTTCGCTTTCCACTTGGGTTCCTATAATCATTTTCCTTTTCCCGCTCCCCCCTCCCTCATGAACCCTTAATAATTTATAAATTATTTATCTTACACTTCCCGGCGTCTCCCTTCACCCACTTTTCTGTTGCCCATCCCTCAGGGAGGAGATCATATGTAGATTCTTGTGGATTCCGTGTTTCCAGTTCCCATTTGTACTGCTGTGCATCCTCTGGTCTAAACAGGTTTGCAAGGTAGAACTGGGATCATGATAGTTGGGGGGAGGAAGCATTTAAGAACTAGAGGAAGGTTGTGAGTTTCATTGTTCCTACACTGTAACCTTGAGTGACTCATCTCCTTCCCACTATCCCTCTGCAAGGGATGTCCAGTTGTCTACAGATGGGCATTGGGTCCCCATCACTCGCTCCCCTCTTTCACGATATGATTCCACCCCCACCCCCCCACCTTTGGTGCTTAAAACCTGGTCCCTTCAGGCCTTCATGATCACACATGTTGGTGTGCTGCTTCCATGTGGGCTTTGTTGCTTCTGGGCTAGATGGCCGCTTGTTTACTTTCAAGCCTTTAAGACCCCAGACACTATAGCTCTCGATAGCCAGGCACCATCAGCCTTCTTCACCACACTTACTTATGCACACATTCGTCTTCAGCGTTTATGTGGGGAAGAAGGTGATCACACAATGATGGTTTTTGTTCTTTGGTGTCTGCTACCTGATACCTTCAACACCTCGTGTTCACACAGGCTTGTGTGCTACTTCTCTGTGGGCTTTGTTGCTTCTGAGCTGGAAGGCCGCTTGTTTGCCTTCAAGTCTTTAAGACCCCAGACGCTGTATCTTTTGATAGCCGGGCACCATCAGCTTTCTTTACCACGTTTGCTTATGCAGACGTCTGTCTTCAGCGATCATGTTGGAAAGGTAGGTATCATGAAATGACCGTTTAGCTGAGCAAGGTGCTCTTGTATTAAGGGAATGCGCGCAAGGAGGCCCAATGTCCACCTGTAACGCTACTACTAGACCTATAAATATATGCACATAGGTCTATTTCCCCCATAATCATAAATATATTTACATATGTTCATGTCTGTATTTAGGCTTCGAAGTATGCCCTTTGCCTCCTACTCCTTTCCTCTATTTCCTTATGCTTTCCTCCTGTCCCACTACCATGTTCAGCCTTCATTTTGGTTTCAGTAATTCCTCTCAGTTACCTTGCCCTTGGTCACTCCCTACCAGTCCTCCCATCCCCTCCCAACCACAGGAGTCTTTACCAAATTCAAGCAATTACCTGCTTTAAAAAAAAAAATCTTGGAAGACACAAGGCGCCAAGACTCCACGAGTGAAAGACAACAGTATCACAAAGGCACAGGTTCACACCCCCAAAACCAACACTGAGCTGACAAGAGTATGTATGTGAGGTGTTTACACAAAACAAATGGCACACAACACAAAATATGGCCAAGAGACCTTTAGGTAAAAATGGAGTTTTTCAAAAAGAACCATGTAGGAGAAAAACACGTTAAGTAATAGAAACAACTCAAAATGGATGAAACGGCAAGACACAGCAGGTAAGTGCAAGGCTGGACAAAGTGAGAAGACAAAAAGCATGCAGGACAGAGAGAGATCCGTCTTGGGGATAGAATGACCCCAGTAAAAGAACCAGTGCCATTGCATCATCTCAGACTCGTGCTAGACCGTGTGTGTCGGAGTAGGACTGCTTTTTAGCGAGTTCTCAGCGACGGAGTTTCCAAAGCAGATTGCCAGGCCTTTCTTCTAAAGTGTGTCTCAATAGAACAATCACCGAAACCAAAACTAAGTCACTGCCAAGGAGGTGACCTTGATGCATAGCAAGCCCAGACAGGGCTTCTGAAGCTTTGTTAACCTTTGACCGAAGCAGACAGCCTCATCCTGTGAACAGCTGATGGGTTCAAACCACTGGCCTTATGGTTAGCAGCCCACCATTTACCAGATAGCACCACCAGGATAGAATGATAGAATCCCTTTAAGAGAGAATAGAGCGATTAAGACATGAGGCTCTCCATCTTCCAGAGCTAAGGAAAACCAAGAGACACCAAAATAGTGTCTTAAAAGCAGCCTAGGTAGGGATCAGCAACCTCAGAAAAATCCAGACGACCACTTAAAGAAACAATAAAGAGGATGAGAGCAGACATCTTACTGTGACAATGTATCAGAAGACTGGTATTTTAAAGGTGCTCTGAAAAAACTGAGAAGCAACAAACAAACCCCAAAGCAAATAGCCTTTCCAAAACAAGTGAAATGAAATTATTTGTCAACGAGCAGAATTCATTACTGGGAATTCAAATTACATCAGATATACAGGCTGATACTCTAAAGAATTAAATAAAATACATACAAATAGTAACTTTAAAAGAAGCAACTAAGAAGCACAAATACAAACAATAAAACTAAAATTTTTGTTAAAAACAAAACACTTCCAAGATAAAGATCACTTAAGCAGCCAACAAAGGCAAGTCAGTTGAAAATGAGCAATCTTCACAGTAAACGCCCACCGCTGTTGAGTCCCTTCCCACTCACGGTTGACCTTATGGGACAGAAAACCTGCTCCTTGGGCTTTTCGGACTCCACAGCTTTATGGGAGCACAGCCTTCACTTTTCTTCTGCAGAGTGGCTAGTGGGTTTGAAGTGCTGCACTTGTGGTTAGCAGCCCAACACCAAGGCCCCTCAGAGTAAGTAGTAATGGCAAATAAACAAGAAGATGGACAGCTTTACTGCAGAGAATACAATCTAAAACTAGTATCTAAAATAAGCTAATTGTCCAATGAATTGGTAAAGATGAACAAATACTGACACAAAATTTAACAAGAATGTTAAGACTTGGACCAATAGGAATCCTTTACTACCAGTGACAAGCACATTAAAAGATAATCTGACAACCAAATGTAGCTAAGAGAAACTCTTACACATGTATACTAAGATATAAGAATGCCTCTAATAAAAAAATAGTAGACAATGCCCTTTGATAGAAAAGCAATATTTATACTATATTTTCCTAATTACAAAGTTGTGAAAGTGACTAAGCCAGTTATACCTACAACACAGATGAATACCGGCAATATATGGAATGAAACAATAAAATCCTAGTCCTAGAAAACTAAAATATGGTATAACACATTTATATACACATAGGTAAATGCAATTGTTTTAATTTTTAATAATTCTTGAGTTGTTGGAACAAAGGTTTTTAATATAATGAAAATTTACTATATACTTTATAGCTCATATTTTAACTTAAAAAATTTTGACTATCAAGTATATTATAAAAGCTATATTGAAGTAGCAATTGTACAAAACTGCTTAATGTGATTTAACTGTGGAATGTAGTGATATAGTAAGAGCTCCCAATAAAATGATTGATAAAATTTTTAAAGATTATTTTTAAAATGCTATTATTAAAAGAACCCAAAATGTAGTTAATGATAGGAGTTTTTCAATATACAAGACATGGCATTAAAAACAGAGAAGTGAAAAAATTATTCAAAGTTCTAATCATCCAAATATATTCAAGGCTAATCATTATTACTACTTAGAAGGGAAAATAATCTGCACACGATTATACTGCCATAAAATAGCAGCACTACGAAGCCAGGTCTCTGACTCTCAAATGTACATCCCTAACAAATGTTATTTTGTTTAAAGAAAGGTAATAAAAGTCTGAAAACCAAAACAAAGTATAATTCCCATCCCTCACAATACTCCTTGTCAGCCCTTAAGCTTCTAAGAAGATGCCTGACCTTCTCATCTTCTTCCTCCTCCTCTTCACTGGACTCCACGTCATCCATGTCCTCTTCTAGGGCACTAACCCGAGGCTCCAATTGTTCAGCTTCTTCCAGCACATAGCGCTTCTGCAGAGAATGAAGGTAAAGTTAGAGGTTGTTGCCAACTCCTCTACATTCTGAAGCTGTTACTAGTTTTGGTACTGATAAATTAGCATTTCGAAACCACCAACTGCTCCTCAGGAGAAAGATGAGGCTGTCTACTCTAGTAAAGAGTTTCAAGCCACGGGGTAGTTCCTTCCCTGTCCCATAGGGTTACCGTGAGCTGGAATATGAGTGAGCGAACAAACAGAGGCAAAGCTAAAAGGTACATTTCCCCTTTTCTACTGTATTTACCACACAGCCTAGTACCAAAATTATAAGCTGCCAAGTTCATGGTTAGTGGCTCAACCATAAGAGGCACTGGGGCTCAGCCCAGTTTTAGGGCTGCAGAATTTCTTGGTTCCTACTCTATAGTGCCAACTCTCCACTAGACTTAGGATCTAGGTAGGAGCTGTCTAGATTCAAGTATTTTACAAAGAAAGGGTACTGAAAATAATCCATCTCATTGCTTGTTTCCATTTTCTTTTTGCATGTGACTTGGGAGTACTTATGGAGTGACTAATGATCTGAGAAGCAAAGGTGAGCTCCAATTGCAAAAGTGGTCTGGATGAGAATTAAGATCCCTTACCATTTTCCTTTGCCAACGACACAGACTACTGCATGGTCTAGACCGAAAATCTTATAACCTGTTTATAATCCTTAGAGAGCTAAGGTTTCAAAATCTGCAAAATCCTTTGATGGTTGGGATATGAGAAAGAGAGACCACCTAGTGAAGTCAGCTACAGAGGAAAGGGGCTCTCAGGATCACCAGAACTGTATCCAGAATCCCCCCATGCCCATCAGACTCAAAGACTGGTGTCAATGTGTTGACTCATGAGTATTTGTGTTTAATAGACTGAACTCAAACTCACAGCGATCCTAAAGGACAGGGTAGAACTGTCCCTGTGAGTTTCTGAGATCTTAATTCTTTCTAGGAGTAGAAACCCCATTTTTCTCCTGTGGCGTGCTGGTGGTTTCAAACTGTTGACCTAGAAGCCCAACTTCATTATGCCACCAGAGCTCCTGTAAATAGACTGAGAATATGTGCATATTCCAGAATCAATGTCAGGGTACATCAGAAGCTCAAACAGTGACCTACACATTGCTTAATAGGAACAGAAACAGAAGGGTTACGCTATTCAAGACATACTGAGGTACATGCCAGAGCACACCACTCAGGGATCTGAAAACACTTCAGTCAGATTTCAATTTCTCTCATTTGAACAAAAACTAAACAAACCCACTGCTGTCAAGTCAATTCTGGCTGATGACCGATCCCAGTGCCAGTGTGCTACAGGGTAGAACTGCTCCGTAACGTTTTCTTAGAGCAGATCACCAGGCCTTTCTTCTGACCCCATTGGATGAGTTTGAACCGCCTCTATGTCAGTAGTTGAGGGCTTAATGAATTCTTTTTCTGTGGTCTTTCCTTCCAGAACCCACACAGAGCTTTCACTTGTATTAACTGGCGGGGCTTTTGAATTCTTGACTACAACCACATTGCATATGGGAGTTTTAAATTTCTTAACTATATTCCTAAAGGCAGTACAAAACCGACTAAAGATCTAAGCTAATGGAGTCATTCTCTTCATTATGATACTCATTTTCCAGAGACTTACTGTATAGGACTGTAACTAAGTACTCATCAATTACTTTTTATGCAACTGTTGCTGCTTCATGCAAATTCATTAACACCCACTCATCAAGTATCTGCAATGTATTCAATTCTCTACTTTAAAGTTTCAAGTTTTTCTGATCTCTTTAATCTTTAAGTGATTACCTTTTGCTTTACATCTAGCAAGCACCTAGCAGATGGGACACAGCGAAGTGCTTCAGAGTGACCGAGCTGCAGTAACATCAACAGGGAAACAAAGTAAAGGCACAATGCATTTCATTGTGCTTTGAAGATACTGCCGTGTTTTTGGCTTTTTTCCTTTAAATAAATTGAAGTTCTGTTGCAAGCCTGTGTCAAGCAAGTCTCTTTGTGCCATTTCACCATCATAGAATGTGCTCATTTCATGTCTGTCACATACTGATAATTCTCACAATAATTTAAACTTCTTTATAATGCTATAAAGTAAAGTATAAGTATAAATTTTATAGTTGCTGAGACACACCAAAAAATAGTGTGACTCACTGCAGCACTTTCTTCATTGCAATGATTTGAAACCAAACCCACTCTCTCACCAGGGCATACTAGTGGGAGTTTGATTGTTTTAAACACGTGAGAACCTACTTCCATTTGCCATTTCCTATACTACCTCTGATGAGACCTTTAAGTTAATGCTGGCAATTTCAACATTTACAGATGTACAGAATCAGAAAGAGTAAAGCTCAAAAAGCCAAAGATCCTTAGTAGGTACCTATCTCAGTGAGTTTTTAATACACGTTTTTACAGTTTAAGATATACAGTATACAAAGGAGCTTCAAAAAGTACTGAGTGATGACCATGGGCCTGTCCCTAAGCAACTGAATACTTTTGTCACTGTAGTTTTCTATCTTTTCTAAATTTTTTTATGAATGGAATTTTACAGTATATTACTGTCTTGTCTTTCACACAGCTTACTTGAAGATTAATCTATGTTGATGCATTATCAAGTTGTTTTATTTTTACTAATGAATAGTATTATACTGTACATTAGACATGCCACAAGCTGTTTGATTCATTCACTGTTGACAGACCTAATTAGTACAATAAATGACTTAATGTGGCTCCTGTTGTCTCTGTAACTCACACTAAGCAATCTCTTCCTGATGGGTCTGGGTTAGAGAAGATGAGGTAACATACTGGTAGGATTTAGTGGTGCAGGTAAACTGGGCTCAATTGTGATTGCCATCCTGCTACATATTAGCATCTCAGAAGTGTAGGAGGGGACGGTAATCTTACTACCAGCAAGGAAAGGAATGAGTTCCTTGAAACCTGAGATCCCTGCACACAGAACCTCCTTCAACTGGAGACAGCTTAGAGATCAAGAGTGACAGACGTGTAGGACAGCAGAGCCCAGCGCCAAAGCATGAGATGGAGCAGTGGACTTCCCAGGCCAGAGCAAGTACAACTGAGGGCTTTAGGGCGGGAGACTAGCTGGGTGAGTGGGGTAAATCTGGGCACTTAATTGGGGGAGCTGACCCAAAGAGCTGTAGCTGAGTGCACATATGGGTTGAAGCTTAATTGCATGCCTCTAGGGCATTTATTGGTAGCCCTGAAAGAGCTTTCTAACACTGACTGAGGAGGGGAGAGGCCAGGCCAAGATGCTGAGGGCCAGAGAGAGGTCTACCAGTAGGCACAGCAAAGAAACAGACTTCACTGAACAACCATATTCCGAGTATTTCTCACCTAAATTATAACTTGCTAACTAATAAAGCCCATTATCACCAACATCATAAGTGAGTGCTGTGAGGCACTACAATGAATATAAAACCCAACCACAAAAGTAGAGTGCTGTGGGAGGGAAATTTGTTATCAGACGGGGAAAAAGTAATGCAGGGTGGAGGCCAGTCTGGCCTCTGCCCTGTGGCAATCAGTCTTGGAAGCAAGAGGTCAGATGGGACCACTACAAACATAGCAGTCAGGACTATTCATGTACAAAGGCACTTCAAAAAGTTAGTGAAGATAATGACATTTTCCCACCAATTTGTTGAAGTACCTTATATGTAAGTCTCTGCTTCTTTCTGAAGGCATGTGCCTTCATGTCCCTTTAGTCAATACCTGGGAGTAAATATGTAGGCTGGGTTGTATGGTTAACTTTTTAAAGACTACACCAAAGCTATCCAAAGCTGTATCATTTGAAATCGCCATTAACAGAGTTGAGAATCGGAGTTCTTCCGTAACCTCATCAACACTTTGGTATGATCAGTCTTTTTCATTTGAGACATTCTAAAAACTATTACCATGGGTTTTATTTCCCAAATGATTAACAGTACAGAGTGGTTTTATATGTGCACATTAATGACCTGCTATGTATCTTTTCTGGTAAAATATGTTAGAGCCCTTTACTAAATTTTTCCATTGGGCTGTCTTATTATTAAACTGAGTCTGGAGATTCGAGGCCTTTGTCAGATGTTACACACACAAGACGACTTCAAAAAGATCATGAGAAAATGTAATTAAAAGATAATCGGATTTTCCATAAACTCTTTGAAGCCTCTCTGGACAGTCTTCCTTCCTGTGGGTTTCCATTTTATTTTTGTAATTACCTTTTGAAAAATAAACTTCTCATTTTAAAAAAGGCCACTTATTTTCTTAAAATCATGGTTTTTTGAGTCTCATTTTGAGAAACCCAAGGTCACTTACACTTTCTCCTATGTTTTCTTTAGGAAGTTTTATAGTCTTAGCATTTACACTTTCAGTCTCCTTCAAGTTGGTTTTTCTATATGATTTAAAGGTAGCGACTCATTTGTGTACACATGGCTATACAACTTTGAGGAAAAGATTACCCTTTCTCAATGAAAGCCTTTCTCTGACATCGCTGTAGAAAACCTACTGATCACCTTAGTGCAAGTGTTCCTGGTCTCTTAGTTTTGTTCCATTCATGTATTTGTCTGTATGCCATTACAACCCCCCATGTCTTGGTTACCACTGCATTTTAAGTTAGAGCAGACACTGTTAGTCTGACTTTGTCTGTTTTCAAAATTGTTGTAGATATTCTAGATCTTTTGCATTTTTCACACAAAGTTTAGAATCGTCTTGTCAAGTACTACAAAAATGTATTGGAATTTTGACTGGGATTCACATGGAATCTATAGGTTAACTTTGAGGAAGTGGCCATTTCAGCATTAAGTCAAGTCATCTGACTCAAATATTTAGGACTTCTTTAACATTTCTCACTAATGGCATGTATTTTAGTTTTAAGTATAGATGTTGTCCACATCTCTTGATGATATTTTAATAGCATATAAAAGTCAAATTTCAAATTCTTACCGTTCATGGTAATTTGTAGAAATACAAGTGATTTTTGTAGATTGGCCATATATCCCATAATTTTGCACAAGAAAATTTATAAACAAAGTGTTATATTCATATAATATAATGCCATTTAGCAATAAAATGAGAATAAACTGTGATAGATGCAACATGGATAAATAATTATGCTGAGTAGGGGAAAAAAGGCATTAAGAAGTATTACTTTTAAATTCCAAAATGCAAACTGATCTATTTTGTCAGCTAGGTGCACATCAGTGACTACTTGAGGCAAGGCAGAGGATATCGATGGTAGGAATACTAAGTAGTAGTCCAAACACTAAGAAATTTTGGGGAGGTGATGTGACAGCTTCAGGGATGACACATGTCAAAATGTATCAAACTGTATACTATAGTATGTGTAGTTTTTAATCTATCAATTATACCTCAATAAAACCATTAAATAAAAGGCTTTGTTAAAATGATTTATCAAGGCTGAAACCCGATAGCCTAGAGACGGTAACTTAATTGGAATATGTGGGTTGTCTCTTTGTTCTTCTCAGTAGCCATAAAATAATTTCACAGGGCAGTTTAAAGACCACTGAGGTATTCGAATTTCCCCACTGTACAGGGAGAAAATAAAGCCAGGTCCTGCAGTCAGCTCTACACTATGGAAACTTGGAGCTCTTACTTGCCCATTTGGTGATCCCTCTCTGACAGCTTTTCTCTTAAGGCTATCCAACATACCTATTTTCCCTTTGTATTTGTCCAGAGTAATTTTCAAATCATACTCTGAAACCCTTATTAGAAGATGCCTACATGAACCCTCATTAATCACTGCGCTAGGGAAGTGGGAGGATCAAGGGAAGGCTTAAGGAGTGTAAGATTTCAGAGTATTCCTTTCTTGTCCCTCTTACTCCATCCATTCTTCCTGTTTTATACTTTGGACTTTTTATATAAAAATCACCTGGAAAACTGCTCACAAAGTTTAAAACCATTACACAAACTGTAATATGCTTAGATGTAGCTTCCTGTAGAAGAAAGCGTTTTTGTGTTAATTATTAATTATTCATTCTTAAAGCCCCCACCTTTAGGATGCTTGCGTCTGCGGTCCTCTCACAGCCAACGTGCACATCTTCAGCACAGCCATGAACACGGCATCAACTTGATGCAGTGAGGTGGTTTGGTTACGAGATCTATGGCCTCAGTGTTTTAATGTGTACAAGGGGCTTCACAAAGCTGGTGGGAAAATTGTTTTCTTTTTGTTCCATTTTTCCAGGAACTTTTGGAAGACCCTCCATCTGTCTGTCTTGCAGTTAAGGGTAACTGGTAAGAGACCTGTAGTTCTTACCTGTAGTCGGGGCAGAATAATGTCACAGACTCTCTCACTATGTAGTAGCTCATCAATAAACTCGTCCACATGCATCAGTTCAAATTCTGAAAGAAAAATCATAGTTCAAGCAATTTTTAAATAAGAGATTTAGAAAGCCAAAAAAAGATGTGTAAAATATTTGTATGCCAAATATCCAACAGAACACTTGGTATATAAAGTGTGAATTCTCTGCTGCTTCCCTCTTCCTGCACATTCACTAGACAAGCTACCTCAGTGGGGTCAGTTACACAGAGGATACTATTATCAAACCTGGCCTCAAACTCAATCCATTTTGCCTTGTCATCACCACTTGCCTTCATTCAGCCCCTCCATACAGAGGCTGTCTTTGTGCTGGGCCTCTTCTTGCAGCTGGGGAGAAAGGGATGAATGAAGCTGCTCTGAACAGTAAGACCAATGCAAAATCAGCAGTCAAGGATTAAGTAGGAGTTATGTGCTGGAATAAATCATGTAACTCCATGACAGTTTCTCACATGAACTCATTATGTCTCTAACTCTAGAACACGGATCTTACATGGTTCATAGACTAATCACTTTGGGGCATTTACATAGTAAATATTTTAGTTGGTGGTTCTTGACCAGGAACAGTTCTGCCTCTAATTAGAGGGATGCTACAGGAGCCCTGATAGCTAATAGTTATGAGTTGGGCTGCTAGCCTCAAGGACAGTAGTTCAAAACCCCCAGCCATTCTATGGGAGAAAAATGAGGCTTTCTATTTCCATAAATAGTCTAGGAAACCAACAGGGGCAGTTCTACCCTGTCCAATAAGGTCGGCCTGAGTCGGAATTGACTTGAGGCAGCAAGTTTGGTTTGGGTTTGTATGCATGTCTAGTGGGCAGAGGCCAATGATGCTGCTATGTAGGCTGCACTGCACAGGCTGGCTCCCCATCACGAAGAACAGTGGTTCTCAACCTGTGGATTGTGACCCCTTTGGTGGTCAAATGACCCTTTCACAGGGGTTGCCCAATTCATAACAGTAGCAAAATTACAGTTATGAAGTGGCAACGAAAATAATTTTATGGTTGGGGGGTTACCACAACATGAGGAACTGTATTAAAGGGTCACGGCCCTTAGGCAGGTTGAGAACCACTGACAAATAAGTTCCTGGCCCCAAATGGTCAGTCTGAGAAACCCTGTCTCAGCTTACTAGCATCACAAGTTAAGTGAGCTTCATCGGGCCCATGGCCATCTGGTGCAGCACGTGAGCTCCAGTAGGGAGCACCAAACCTGGCAACCCACTACAGGACTCCACGCTAATCCACACTAGTGAGCCTCACAAAGCTCATGGAGACATGCAATGAGGAGATCATAGTATTTGTTCAATGAATGAGCTGATAAAGTATAACTCCAAATTCTTAACATTTAACTGTTTACATGCAGCACGAACACATAAATCCTTTGTTAGGACACTAGCTGATCAGAAGAGAAAAGGTTTTTATTACAATTTTCCTGAATCCCACTTTACCACAGAAATTGTTGCTTTAAAAAGTATGAAGTGCTCCCTCTTGGATACACTTAGTACTTTTCTGATTCCTACCTCAGTATGAGTATAGTTAGTCTACAAACTAGAAAGTGAAATATGGAAAATGGCCTTTATCTAGGAGGGTTGAAGAGGCTTTCCGGGAGAAAATCAATCTGGAGTCAGGTCCTATGGTGTGAACAATAACTTGCAAAGCACTCACAAAGGCATGAAGGAACCAGACAAGTTCAAGGAAGATGAGATCAGTGTAACAGGAGCAGATGTTGTAAGACAGGGAATAAAAAAAGGCATGGTCAGAAAGGGAGGCAGAGAGGGGAAGTCCAACCGAGTTAGGAGTCTCCTGGAACACTCCTGGGAGGGAGGGGGGAGGCTGTAAAGGGTAACGATGGGGGGTGAAGACGAGGGGAAAGTCAGTGACCACGTGAGGATGGAGGAATCAGGAATCAAGAGACCTGGCACCATGCTCACCCCCATTTCGGTTTTGGCTCTTGATTTTCCGATAGTCATTGTAGAGAGGCTCCAAGTACTTGTAACAGTCAATTGCTGTGCCTGTCAGTCTCATGTAAAGGGCCCCCAACATGCGGACATACCTGAAAGAGACACACAAGTGAAGCAACACACCATCCTGAGAAGTTTCTGAGTTTTACCACTGGATTTTCTTACAATAGTAGTGATAACAACTTCCTTTTTCTTCTCTCTGCAGCTTTTCTCTGTGGAAAAGCTGCAACTTTCAAGCCAGCATGGGGTGGCAGAAATAGAGCTAAAATGTGGAGACCAAGATTCAAGTTCCTACTCTATCACTTGCTGTGGAAACTTGCTAAATTGTCAGTTTATATCACCTGTAAAATTAGCATAAAATGTATTTACCTCACAGGGTTATTGTAGGAATCACACAAGTTTTTGAATGTGATAGTATAAGTAGTATACAGACATGAATACTGCTGCTAGGCAATTTTTATATATTCATGTCTGTGTCCTAATTCTAAAAAATGCCAAAATTGTCTGGGTTCAAATTCTGACTCTGTTACTCACTTAGTAACACTTGACAAGGTATTTTCTTAATCTCTGTAAAACGGAGATGAGAATAGGACCGAATTTATTAGTGTATTAAATGAGCAATGTGTATAAAGTGTCAGACATGGTATATAACACCATATGTGCCTTAAAAAGTTAGCGATTTTGTAGCGGTTGATGTTTTAGGAACAGTTGTGAGGACGGCACAGGACCATGCAGTGTTTCGTTCTGTTGTGTAGAGGGCTGTGTGGCTTGGAGTTGACTCAGTGGCACCTAACAACAACAACAATCCTAAGATTTCTTCTATATCCTAGTGGTTCAAATTTTCACTTGGATTAACTAGTAGCTGCCCCTGCTCTAAGCAGTCCTTATTCGAGCATGCTGCACCAAAATTCATGTTCAAGCTGTTAAAAATGGCCATCCTCTCGTTCTTTCTTCCTTTCACGGACTTCATACAATTTATTTGCAAACTCTGCCAGTTCAATCTTGAAAATACAAGCTCATCTGGCCACTTGTCCTCACCTTCACTCATCAGTTGCCCTAGCCTGCGGGTCCTCTGCTCGAGGTAGGCCTGCCTTCTCCCACTGTGAAGGTTTCCCACTCACAGAGCCTTTTCTGACTACCTAACACAAGGTGAGCAGTACGTGGTAACTCACTGCAAACACTGGAAACAGAGTCATTAGGGTACACCTGTAGTTATGAGGCTGGAGAGCACAGTGCCCAAGAACACTGACTGCGGGGTCGAATCGCCTGCACTGAAAGCCCACTTCTGCCCCAGTGTCCTCTGTAAAATCAGGACAACAGCACACTAGGGGAAGTTTAGTGTAATAATTAAGAATATGAACTCTAGGCCCAGGCTGTCCAGATACCTAGCTCTGGAACTTAGCAGCTCCATGGCCTTGGGGAGGTTACTTATAGGCACTGTGCCTCAGTGTTGTTATACATGCATTTTAAAGGATGAGAAAGACTGAGTCCCAATATGGAAGACTCTCCAAGCTCTCTTATTAAATAACAAAAGAAAGGGCTAGAGTGTACAGCATGCTATAATTTGTATACAAAGATGTGAAACACAGTTATCTCTTTGTCTATACATGAAATTCCTGGGGGGAAATATAAGAAACTGGTAATACTAGATTGCTCCACAGAAGAAAATCCCGTGACCCGAGGGCAGTGAGGGAAAGGAAACATTTAAGTAAATGTTGTAAATTAAGTAAAATACCATATGAAGGTATTATATATTAAAAGGGGAAAACAACTTTTTGATTCTTGCTATAAAGAAATCTTGGGGTTTTCCTTACGCCCCATATTCTACTTAATGACCATGAGTATTTTCTGTTCATTTCCAAGTCCAGACCCTTCTTTTCCTAAAAGTTTCTTCTTGGAAACTGGACAAGTTGTTCAAACGCCACATTGGAAATAACTGATCTTCCCTGGCGAAAGCTGCTATCCTTCCTCTTTCTTAACTTCAGGTGTCAGACAAGACTAAATTTTCATTTTAGAACGATCACTCCAGTCTTGAAAGAATGAGACTACAATTAGAGATCACTAAGTAGACTCAAGGGAGTAATGACAAAACCTGAATTGAGAAATTGAGGGAAAAAAGGACAAATTCAAATGATAGCTATGATCACCTTGTCTACCTATGAGGGCCTGGGGGGAGCAGTGACGTTAGCACCATAAAAAGAACCAGAGAAAACAAATATGCCAAAATGTTCATAATGGTTGCTTCTGAAAAGTAAGATTATGGAATTTTGCCCTATTTTTCAATACTTGGCAAAATTTCAATAATGCATATTTTTGTTTTAAAATTAGCAGACAAGAGTTAGGGGATTGAATTTACAGAAAATAGTGGCTGAGTTAGGTAGTTTATTGTGCCAACCTGGCTGATAGACACGTGAGGTTAGTTGAAGGGCGGAGGGATAAATGGCTCGGTGAGCCTTGCCTTTCTAGTGCTCTGGTCTCTTGCTTCGTGATGGTCGGACCAAGGTGCAGCTGCCTTAGCAGTTCCCTACTTCAAATTGCAAGGCTGACTTCCTGTAAGATATCCCCAAGGAGAAGACAGATGGACCTACCCTGATGCAGCCCTGGGTGCTGGAGCAGCCGTGTGGAGAGCCCTCCCAGCACTGAGATGCTTACACATTCACTGACTCGGCTTTCCTCCTGCAGTCAGTGTCATAGTGTGTGTTTTGTGAGATGGAGGAGGACTTTATAGATCGGTGTCGGACATATGGGTTAATGTTGAACTAGTGGGCATGGGCAGCACTGGGTTGGGATGCTCTCTTGATTTGTACTTAACCTTTATATAAAACTCTCTCTTATAAATGAGTTTCTGTGGATTTGTTTCTCTGAATGTACCCACACTAACACAGTGGCTATGATTCCCAAGTTTCTGGTTTGCTAGAGGCTATTGTCTTTGTACTGCGAGAAGGAACGAGGCTAGAGAAACATTTTCCCTTCCCCAAGTTTCATCACTCAAAACAGGTTCCGCTCCCCTCATTCCGCCCCTCTTTTCTGCTCTGTCACTCGTGGTGCCACCATGATCCGGCCCGTCATTCAAGCAAGAAATGTAGTCATCACCTTTGATGCCTTCCTCATCCTCCCATGTGAAATCAACCATCAAATTCTGTTCTTCCTACTTCATATCTTTCAAGTTTCACCTAGCCATGTCTCCTGGAACTGCACAGATCCAGACCCTAGCTGGCTGCCAACTCTAGCCTCCGCTCTGTCCACACTGCTGCCAAAGACAACTCCAATTTAAAATCTCCTCCTAACTTGCCAGAGTTCTTGATAAAGTCACTCATCACTTGGCCCATACCTCTCTCTCAAGTGCCCATTTGATGTCACTAAACACTGTTTGAACTCGCCATACATAGTATTCTTGTTCATGCCTCTGCTTCCATCCTTTTCACTGGTCCTCCATGACTCAGCTTAAGACTTTCTTCCTCTGAAAATCCTACACACAAGGCTCATTAATTTAGATGCTCATGCCTCCCTACCCTCCTTCTACCACACATCGTATACACCTCTACGAGCACTTCGCTCTTAAATGAAAAGCAGAATATAGCAAAGGACACGCCTGAAGCTGACTATGCCACTTACTAGCTTTGTGGCCTTGGGTACACTACATAAGCTCTCTGTGACTTAGTTTCCTTACCTGTAAATGAAGATAACGAACTTTTAGGATTACTGTGAGGACGACATTAATCACTATTCTGTGTGGTGAGGGGAAAGCCCTGAGAGTTGGCATGTGATAAGCTATCGTATCTACCTTATGGTTGCCTGTAAGCCCCTGGGGAATGAATAATAAAATAATTAACATAAGTGACATTTTTTTGAGTATGTATACTGTAAAAGGTACCATTGAGTGGTTTACTTGCATTATGTTCTTAAACTTTTAACATCAATTTTATAAGGAGGTAGCATAATTCCAGCTTTACAGATGCAAAAAAATTAAATTGAGAAATTTAACTTCTCCAAGGCATAGTCAGTAAGTGACAGATCTGGATTGCACCTCAGATCTAACACCAAAGGTCTCTCTCTTTTAACTCACACAATGCTGTTTTTTTCATCTCTGGGTGCCCAGTGCCTACCAACACATTAGGTACTTACATCTACTTAACATGCTCAGTCAATAGTAAAGAAACCCCTTTCTTTGGGAAAAAGTTGCTCTGAACAAAATAGAAGAATAGCAATGCAATCAGAACAGGCAAAATATACACTCAGACTCAAGAAGAAATCCCTTTGGGAAATGAGAAACTCTATGCTCATTCCTCTTAACCAAAGTCCAATGCTGAGCAGTCCAACAGAAGTGTTTGCATTATCTAGTCAACATTACACTCACTTGAAGTCTTCGTTTTTGATAAACTCTACAATGATATCCTTCTCAGGTTGAATCTGTAGCATCTTCAAGGTCAAACACAGAAAGGGAGTTGGCTTTATGTTGCCGCCATAAACACCACCCACAAACCTTAACTCCATGGCTTTATCGACTACAAGTTCAGCTAAAAAAAGAAAAACAAAATAAAGTGACATCTTAGACACTATAGGGGTTAAGTGTTTCCTGATTTAAAGTGTAGAGATGTTAGTTCCTGGTTTGGTGCTCAGAGCACTCATCAACACTGGCACTGGAGTGGCACTAAAGACAACAATAACAATAGCAAGTAACAAGGGGCCCTGGGGGCAAAGCTGGTTCAGATGTTAGATCACTAACCAGCAGTTCGACCCAAGATGAGCAGTCTGCTTCCTTTTAAAGAGTTACAGCTTGGGAAACCCTATGGGGCCGGTCTACTTAATTGACTCAAGAGCAGAAGAGGACGGTGCATCCACTATACTCTAGGAGGTCCATATCCATCAGTTGCTCCACAAAGGAAAAATGAGGCAGCTTGCTCCCATAAAGATTTACAATTTTAGAAACCCAAAGAAGTGGCTTCACTCTGCCCTATATAAGGTGGAGTTGGAATCGATTCAATGGTAGTGCGTTTTGGTTTATAGCCCAAGTACAGGTCATACTATCTTGTCTAACTTTCACAACAAGCCATTGCATTGTTCACAACAACTTCTAGCATTTTCCCCTATTTCCAGATCAGGACACTGAAGCCTAAGAAAGATTAAGTGACTTGCCCCAGGGCCACAGTCAGAAAAGTGTAGAGCCTGATGAAATCTAAGCAGTCTAACTTTAGAATCCATTTCACCACCATCATGGGGGGGAAGCCTGCAGGATTAGAAGTCTAACCAAAAATCCCCCAAACTCCTCAATAGCTACACAACCTTGGGTAAACCTCGTCTCAGCTACAGAATTACCTCCCATCAGACTGTCAGAACTCAAACACGACTTGTGTGAACGCTGGCAAATCCTATACTCTCTCTCAGCCTATGTGCTCTGGCCCTCAGGTCCTAGTTAAGGGCTAGTTTTCAGGAAGCATAAGCAACTCCTAAGAGTAATGACTTTGTGTCTTCTTTTATCACTGTACCTGTTATCTCTAGTACTTAGCGCAGTAGGAGTAATGACTGAAT